CATTTTTCTGCAATTAAAATGAAATGTCACTAGGTCCCAAGGTCTGGAATAGACTGCCACCAGAGGTGGTTCAAGCACCTACTCCGAACACTTTCAAGAGACATTTGGATGTTTATCTTGCTGGGAGCCTGTGGCTCCATCCCACTCCCCCAACTGGACCCCACAGCCCTGGCTGGGCAGCACTCCAGCCTCAGCCACCAACCCTTCCCTGCTGCCCCCCTCACCATGGCTGCCTCAACCTGTCCCCCCTGGCCCCACACACGTCACCTATGCCCCCCCCAGACTTACCTGCAGGCTGGGGGAGCTGCCCTCCACTGCTGCCTGGCTGTATTACTGGCCATGTGCCTGCGTGTGCAAGGACACATTCACATAAGAGTCGCCAGTGTCCTCCTCCACTGAGCCCCAAGCAGTCCCTTGCAGGGTGGAGCTCTGCCAGCCTGCAATGGGAAATCTGCAGTTTCCCACATTCCCTCCCACTTGAAAGAGGAGAACCATGCTTCCCCAACTCCCTGAAGAAGAAAAGTCACAGTTCCCCCTCCCCGAAGGAAAAAAGCCACAGTTCCTCTCCCTGCCAAAGGAGAAAAAACATGGGTCCCCCCCTTGAAGGAGAAAAGCCACAGTTCCTCCCCCACCACCTAGGAGAACAGCCGCAGCTCCCCCTTGCCAAAGGAAAAAAGCCACACTCCCTGCCCCACTGAATGAGAAAAGCCACAGTACCCTCCACCCTGCTTTGAAGGAGAAAAGCTGCACTCCCCTCCCTCCAAGGAGAAAAGCCAGTGCCCACCCACCCCTCGAAGGAGAAAAGCCACAGTGCCCCTGCCCCTTGAAGGAGGAAAGCTGCGGTCCCCCCCACCTTGAACAAGGAAAGTCGTGGTTCTCCCCCTCCACTCCAAAAGAGAAAAGCCACGGGTTTCCCCCACCTTGACAAAGAAAAAATACATTTTTCCACAGCAAACGTAAAACCCGGTTCCCTAGCGATAATAGGCAACCAATGCAATGCCTCAACTGGCAAAGCAAATAAAACTCTGGCTTGCATTTACCGATGCATCTCAAACAAGACCCAAGTAGACATCCTCCCACTTTACCTGGCCTTGGTGAGACTGCAGCTGGAGTACTGCATCCAATTCTGGGCTCTACACTTCAGAAAGGATATGGAGAAGCTAAGTATATAAGGGGTGTGGACCAGGAACTGGAAGAACAGCTATTCACCAGGGCACCCCAAAGACAAGGTGTAATAGTCACAGACTGCTGGAAGACCATTTTAGACTGGACGTAAGAAAAAACTTCTTTATCGTCCGAGTCTCCAGAGTCTGGAATAGACTCCCTCCAGAGGCAGTGCCAGCACCTACTCAGGATACCTTCAAGAAACACCTGGATGCTTATCTTGCTGACGTGATCTGACCCCAGCTGACTACCTGCCCCTTGGGCAGAAGGCTAGACATGATGATCTCGCGAGGTCCCTTCCAGGCCTAATGTCTATGAAATCTATGAAACAGATTTGCTGGGAAGCCGTGAACCCCTCCTCTCTCACATATACAGTAAGATTCAGTGTCTAAAATTAAGATCCTCTGTTGAAAGTTTCCATAGAAATATCATCATTAGGACTTCTGGGGTCCTGTGAGATTCTGATCAATCAGAAATTAAATTTGAGTATGACTGAGACTAAGTTTTCTGTAAAAATCAAAAACAAATCAGCATACGTAGAATATAAAACAGTTAGCCTCAATGCCACTTTTTCTGCTTCTTACTGATCCATTACTTATTAAGGGGTTCTGTACATATGGCCTAGGAATACAATGACACACTGAGAGTGTGTATGAATGTGTATACACTAGCCTATAAATTTGGAGTTTTTGCATTTTGTCTCAGACCAACATGGCTATTAAATACATCCCTGAAACATAGAAGAGGCTGAATTTTAGCCAATTTTGAATTTAAACTTCACTGCTGAACAACAAGAAATATTTCTGTACCTCCTTGCCTTTCTGCCATCTGACACCACCAGGGAAAGAATACTGCCTTATCTGCACATCAAAGAGCAACTCACAAAGACACTCTCATCGACCCAGAGGAACAGACTTCCATCTTCAACTTCCTCTGTGCAAAAGTGAAGTTTATTATTTTCTACCTATGGGGTCTTTTTACCATCTTTAATTTTCCATGAGCCTGAGGAAAGGCATGTGGCGCCTGAAAGCTTGCAGACAAAAATATTTTTTTTGCGATTTCTTAGTTGGTCTAATAAAAGGTATCATCTCTGAACCAAGAGTTCTAGAGTTTTGCATTTCTTTTTTGCATTAAAAACAGCACTCAACAGAGAATGCTACTGTAACAAGACTGAGGGGCATGGGTGATGCTCCCTGGTGGCCATACAGCTCCTGCCTGGCTCTGGCTCCTTGGGTACCCTGCTTCTCCTCATTCCTGCCACGCATTTGATGTAATAGTTAGGTTACATAAAGAAGGCTGCCCCTAGGTCCCAGGGTGAGCACTATTCTATTCTTGGTCCAGCAGGTCCCTCCCAGACCCATCTGCACCCCCAGAGCTCCAGTGGTCTTAAGGACTATGTGTGACCTGCTTCACCCCTAGTCACACCCATGCCTCACAGGTGTTATTTTAAATAGTCCACTGGGCCTGATGACCCTGACTGTTGACTAATTCACCTGACCTGCTGGGCTCCTGGCCCTGGCTAGGCTCTCTTCTCCCTGGGCCCACGGGCCTGGGTCCATCTTCCACTAGTACTGGATATTGGGTGTTAGCCCCTCAGTTCAAACCTTCTCGGCTTTGGCTTCCCTACTGTGGCCTTAGCCTTCTACTCTGAGTCCCTGGCCCTCACCTGGCTGCTATAGCCCTATCCTAACTCTGTCTCATAGGCCTCTAACCCTAAGCCAGGCCACTTCTTTTCAGACTCTAGTTAACCTGCTAAGCCCTTGGCCCTGGCAGTGCTCTGTCTCTTCTCTGGGCGCCTAGCCCTAATCCCTCTCCAGGCTTTGGCCCTCTCAACTTAAACCTGCTCTGTCCTCAGCCCTCCATTCTCTGGGTCCCTGGCTGTTGTATGGCAGCTATGGCCCTCTCTCAGCCATTTGGACCCCCCTATCCCCCAGCTGGGCTGCTACCCCAGACTTCTACCCTCAGGATCCATGACCCCAAGCCAGACTGCTCCCACTAGCCTTGGCCCTCAGAATCAGCCTGCTCCAGCCCACAGTCCTTGACCCCTAGTACCTGTCAGGCACTCCTCCATGGCCTCCAGACCGCCCTCAATAGCCACAACCCAGTCTCTGGTCTAAACTAGAAAATAAAGATAAGCACACTGACTGTAACCACCCTCCTGTAACCAACCAAAAACTCTCACCACCCTGGGTCAATAATTCCCACCTGCAGGCTGTAAGCCCCCTTTAACCTTCTACTTGTGCCTTAGGGCAGTCTGGGTGCTGGTCAGTTCCTCCCTCTCAGCTGTCCTGCTGTGGAACTCCTCGCCCCGCTGTCTGCAGAGCCAGACTGAATCCCCTGACTACCAGTGCTGAGCTTATGTGACCAGGAGAACTGCCCCTTCCAGGCAGGTGACCCTAATTAAGAACAAGGGTTTTCCTTGGGCTTAAGGATTAGCCTGCTTGTTGTAGCACAGCTAGCTCCTACTCGGCTGCCTTCTGCAAATTTCCCATAAAGTAACAGAAGCCCCTGGCTCCCTGTTATAGTTATACTTTAGTTTACATATACAACAGCATGTGGTCCACCTTTTCAAGACCCTGTATATCATCCTTTCACAGCATCTAATGAAGCGAGCTTCAGCTCATGAAAGCTTGCTATACATACATGTATGTATTTATGTACATGCACCTCAGTTAGTTTATAAAGGTGCAAATCTACCCTGCTTTCTGCTCCATAATTTAGGTTCAGCCCCTACGCTTTACTATTTGTTACTGTGTAAAGGACCCTAAAGCATGACCAAAAACCAACAGGTTTTTAAACATGTCAGTGAGAAACGGATCCAAGCTCACCAAGGAAACTGCAAGCCCCCTTTAGGAATGGGGACCACTAATGATGTCACACTGATTCCTTGGGACAACTAATGAAGAAAATGGGGTCAGGAATAGAGGTCAGAGGTTAATAACTAGCATGCGCCGGGGGGGGGGGCCAGGAAGCAACAGGAGCAGTTGACCATGTCAGAGCCCTGTGAAATGCCATGACTGGCAATGCTCTTATGCCATCTCTACATTTCACCAAGCAGAATAGTCACCAAACTGCACTTCCAAAATGCAAATCCTCTTTCTCCCTTTGTCCTTCAATTTCAAGATGACCTTGTCCCCATCAAATTACCTCCCTTTGGACTTGAAAAGGAAATAAATGCTCACTGACAGTTGGCCATTGTTCAGGGAATTTCTACAAACAAAAAAAAAAGGCCTCAGTAAGTTTACTATCTAAAATAAATAGAAAACAACACACATTCCATTAAATGAGGTATCCAGGCTACTCCCATATGAAAGGGCGTTTTGGAAAAGAGTCTTTGATCTGTAAGCGAGAACCCCACAGGCGCTGCACTTTCAAGCAAGCCAAGGAACGTGTGTTCCTTTCTCAGTACTGTGCTAACCAACACCTGCCTCCGCGCACGCATTGCCCTGGAGTGCAGCGGGCACTTTCTGCTTGGTCTCATTCCAGATGCCCCCACGTCGTTGTACTTGGGCATGAGAGGCCTGGGATCCGCGGCATCGCACGGCCGCGCCCAAACCCAGCCCCCGGCTCCCCCTCCCGAGAGGGCAGCGGCGAAAGCTCCGTGCGGGGGCCGAGGAGAGCCGACCCGGGCTGGCCGGGCCCCCGCTCCACCCGCTCCCTCCCGAGCTGGGCCCGCTGCCGGGGGTGGCCGTGGCCCCGCAGGGGCACCTCCCGGGTCCTCCGCCTGCCCCCGCGCGGGTCCCGCGTGCCGGGGGCGGCAAGGCGCAGCCGCCCCCCGGGGGAGCGCAGAAACAAGAGCGGACGGGACAAGCCGTGGCCGCGCCCCCGCGTCTCACCTCCCGCCGCACGTTCAGCAGCGAGTAGTAGTCCTCGTTGTCAGGCGCCTCCGCGCCCAAGGCCGCCGCCATCTTCCCGACCTCTCACCCCGGGCCGAGCAGTAGCGACGCGACACCGAGGCGGCCACGGCAGAGCTGTCGCCACAGCGCCCCCGGCGGCTCGGGGGAGGCGAGGCGAGCAGGGCGCAGGCGCGCCTGGAGGCCAGGGCC